AACTACGTACAACGCTATCAGATAAGGAGCGATGGATAAGTTGTCTGAAGGAATGATACAATTTAGAAGAACGGACAAAACGACAGAGTTGAAGGTAGAACACAATGGATGGAACAGAGATGCAGATATCTAAGTATTATTCTGATCATCCTTAACCACGCTGCTCAATGAAAAACATCAAAGTTCTGACTAATCTGTGCGATGATCGATGAAATATGGATTTCTTTATAGTTCGATAATTAATTGGTGTATGCTGCACTGACATTGCTAGACAGTCCGACTAGTAAGCAAGAGAACGATCAGAGTTCTCGTCCTAGCATTAAGATCTGACAGGAACCTAACCGTCAAGCAGTAGGTAGGGCGAGGCCTCTTGACCTGGATCGATTAATTCTCCATTATTCTACCTACTGAGAAGCCAACTACCGTAGAGATCTGAAACCGGGGAACCCCAAGACTGAACTTTGTTTGACCTATATCTTTTGACCTTTCAGACACCAGTACATTCTTCGGCTTAATGAAAGTCACTTTGTGTAGTTCATTGGGTCACGGAGGCGCACATGCCATTAGACCGCATCAAAGTATCGGCTCGTTTTGATGGAAGCCAAAGTTGGTTTTACTTGCAATGACAGTTGTATTCTATTACTGGATAAATACATCGCACATAGAAATAGACTTGCACATTTTGAGACGTTGATTGAAATAAATCAAGGTACTCTTTGCAAATGACTATTTATCATGTGTAACTCAACCAAATCATCGAAATCTCACCACGCGTATCGTTTTTTTATTACACACCAGTGTGTGATGAAACTAGACGGGCCGGACCCCATAATCAAAAAAACCTGCTGTTCCGTGATGTTAGGGGGCAACCTGATCTCCGGGACTTGCAGTGGCGAACCACATAAGGCCCCGATAAGTCAGGCGTGGTATAGAACCGGGTGACAGTAAAGCTGTCTACCACCAAAGTTGGGTGGCGAATCAAAAACAAATTTGATTTTGTGAATCGAAGTATGTTAGCTAAACAACGAATCAATCGGGCGAAGGGACACACAAGGGACCACAGCAGAAAGAACGTAACGGTTAACGGACACGGAATGTGTTCCGTGAAACTTATGAATGATAGATGACAGCGAAATAGAACAGTATGCAGATAGTGTGCGAACGCGTTTAGGTAATCCATCTATACGGTTCCAAAAACGCAATTTATTGGGTAAAAAATCAGGTGCGCAAACATCGACAGTGAATGAACGGGCACTACTGACGTCACACATTAAATTTGTGGTGTTTTGCACTTGTATACTGCTTTTCAAGACACATTCAATTCACAGAGTTAGGTTGAATGCCCGAAAACAAAATGGAACGGAAAAACGACTCATCGAAGGACGACTGACCGAGAAAGTATGATTCGTGTGTGTGCATTGTACCTCGGGAAACAGCTTGTTCCAGCTCACAAGCATCACTAAAGTATAGTGAAGGAATGAAAAAATTGCCCATTTCTTGGCTCAAAACATTAAGCATCATGTAAACTCCGAATCGAAGATGAACGACGAAAACAATACAATTGGATGAGGTGACACCAAAATACAACAAGGAAGGAATCGGTCATCATCATCATCGTACAGCGAGATACAGTTAAGCGACCTTCACTGATCGCTGCCACGCTCACAATGCACACAAATCGAATGATAAAGCAAAAGATGGAGAGGGATTGAGCCTACTTGGAGGGAGGCAAAGAAAAAGAACCTCTATGTTCAACACACAGAGCACACAATTGAAGTGTTCATGCACACCTTTTTCAAGCATTCTGCCTTGTTAATAAATGACAACAAGAGCGCCACTGCTGTCGGTCAGTCGCCATATCCTTTAATGTCTCCAGCCCACCAGTTGTAGAGTCTTTCGGACCCCAACTTGGAAGACGGGAAACACCGATTCTACCTAATCGCTCTGTGCATTTCTTCATGCCTCGCTTCCGCGTTATCTGTTGACCACCACGCGGTTTCTTCCAACGTGGAGCCGTAACTGCGAATAAGGTGCGGTGCAGCAAACAATGGCTGGACATGCGCAATACATCTCCTAACCAACGAAGCCGACTTAACTGAATTCGATGGTACAAAGAATTCTCCATTGAATCATTACCAAATACGCGACGCCTCACCTCAGAGTTGCTTACAAGCTCGCTCCATCCAACCCGCGCCAAACTAC